TTTTTTGGTCCCTTTTTTCGTTTGACACATTCTACCAATTAATCAACATTGATCCACATTTCTTCGGATTTTTTTGCCTATACCATCTTCGAACAATCCATCATCGTACATTTTTTCCAAAAAAACATGGAAATTCTGTTTGATTATTCGTACGCCTTGTTCACGGCTTTAATGGAATCTTTTTGATGCACATGCTGTCGTCTGAGCCCACACAACAAACTAATTCTCCAGGGATCGGCTTGATAACTGTAGCTAGATCTATGGGAAGAAAATGAAACAGCCTTTGTGAGCTATCGCACCCTGATAGCGTGAGATTATTGGGCATAGTTCGTAGCTGTAACCTGAGGCAGCGTTCAGACTTCGCGACGACAGCGCGTTCGACGCGATCAATGCAGTTGAAAGCATGCTTATCGATCGCGTCGCGCGACCGAAACGTTGCCGTCGCGAAGTCTGCACGCTGCTTAATCTACATGGGGTTACTTGCACGATATCGATTAAAGAGGATACGTCATGGTATGGATTTCTGTGCTTCAACATTTTCCCTCCCAAACGGTTTCCTCTCCTCATTCATTTCAATGATGTGAATCGATAAGACAGGTACAGGTTTGATCAGAGGTCACCCTCATACTCTGTGTTGCTCTAGAGTCGGAGAATCCACAGAAATCATGAAAGGACTGGAGCATTTCTAATCCAATACATAGGACTTTTCTTTTCACGGATTATCTGCTCACCCTACGGCGCAAGGAATGACAGCACCCCGAAACATGTCGTAGACGGACAGCAAGACCTCGTCCCATACAATGTTTGATTTTACAAGAAGGTTTCAGAGATGATACTCACAAACTTACTTGCATTGCTCCAATTGGTGATAGTATGTGAGGCATTCCGAACGCAGAGTGTGGCGGTGAAAGGACGATTGATGTGCGGCAGTCAACCAGCAGCAAACGTGCGTGTCAAACTGCTCGACGAAGATCAAGGTGCACCTTTGTTCCTAGATGTGAAACGGACTGAAGGACACTCCAAAAGACAGCAGATAAAAATCTGAAAACACCTTGGTGCTGCATGAGTCGGGGTGAAAGTGCTAAAAAAGCCCTAATTTCGGCAGTCTGTGTTCATTCAAGGCGCTGTGGCTCAGCAGACTGTGTTCATACTTTGTACTGCCGTCGCTTATGCTTGCCACACGCGCTAAAAGCGACTCAGCGTGTGTGTAGGGCCCAGAGTAGGTAGTCGCGCACTTGTGCGGATCTCTGTATTCGCGAAGTATGACTATGCAAGGCATCGACTTACTATCTCGCAGAGAGAGAGAGCAGGCGAGCACCCCTGGTCGCGCCACCCTTTGCTGCTCCTGGAACTACGGTGCTGCTCATCTCATCTCGTTCAAAGAAATTAGAGAACAGACTGCCGTTTATAGTTGCAGGGAATCGTAGAGATCAGCACCATCCTTACTGGGGCCGCGGGGGAGGTGGCACTCGCGCCGCCACGTCTTATATCCAGAGGCCCCAAACGGATCAAGTAGAGTGAGGGACGAACGCGATGGGTATCGCCGTCTCTATATCCCAGCCCCAAAAACGATCAGAGTTAGAGTGCGGACGAACCAAGTCGCCGACGGGTATTTCCGTGGGAAAGACAGTCTCCACTAAGGCTAAATCTTGATTAGCAAAAGGAACACAGAGGCGCGACCAGGTGGTCCTCCAGCTACGTAAGCACTCCCTTCATTGCCTTGGTTCAGATTCGGAACAGCACAGACTACCAACGTCGCCACGCCTTAGTGCTGCCACATGTCCACTAAAACTATGTCGGAGCCAACAGCGGACCGCAAAAGGTATAACGGAGGACCATTTCAGGTGATCCGGACGACGTAATGGACCAAATGGACACGCAGTCCGATGGCCACTTCAGCCTCAGCGGCTCAGCATCCGAATTGACACCGATCGACCCCGAAGTGCGTATTTATCACGACTGCAATGATCATGGAAAGGTATGAATAATAGTGTTGGGTTCGTAATTGTTCAAGGGCGCATTCTATAACAATATGAATATGGCAGTGGGGCAACTAGATGCTAAAGGAAGAGTAGTGGGGATAAAGCCGAAGGCACTTTTGAAAACGCCTCCAGTGACCTCACTTTCCCACCAGTTGATTCTGAGGGCTGCACCCGTTTTTGGCGAAGAAACACTGGGAATCTGAAAGAGGTACCAGACGACAAGATGGCGAGGGATACGAGAGATGACAGAGACGACAGACAGCAACGCACCCTCCAATCATTTTGTTAGGGGGTAAGATTGCCGTCATTCCGAAAGCACAACCTTGACATCACTTAGAGTTAGCGCCACGAAATGTCCTTAACTTTAATTCTGGATCTTCAGTACTTCCAGTGCAGCCCGTTACTCGTACAGGTCCATATCGGAGCGCTAGGTAGGGCGTGTTCACGGACTCAGTTTATTACCTTCACTACGACCTACTAGTACGTAAAAGTCCACTCACTTGTTTCGGAAACGTTCCGAATGGTCGTTTTCGCTGCGGACGCTGGGGCGTGGCAGGGGACTGGGTTTAGCGTTCCACACCAATATGTAACAAATTTCAGCCATGCCAACGTGAATGGATCATCAGAATCCCGAGCAACTA